GACAGTTATTCAGAGTGATCTAATATTATTTTATTCTTTTAAGCATTTGGATCAATCCATCAGCCAATCTTCGATGAACTGCTATGACCAGGCCCATTGCTAGGCACTCGGGGAACCTCCGAATTGTTCTCCAGGAGCTCCTGAGCAGGATGAGGGGATGACAAACCCAGGGTGGGGCAAAAGTAGGTTCACAGTTGCTGGTATGGAAAAGAATACAATAATAAATAAATAGCCCAAGAATAAGCTCTGTTTCGCCTACTCACAACTGTACATGTACTTTGGCCCCACCCTGTACAATAATAACTCGAATTCAATGAATAATGTAATAAATGCAAGAGAAATTCCATGGGAGTTCAGAGGAGAGGAAATTCCCTTTGAATAAGAAAGGCGCTATAGATGGGGCGGCCTTGGGGCTGGTCCTTCAGAAAGGGTATGCCTTCCGGCCAAATTGGGGCCAGAGGCATCAGGAAAGCTCTGAGTGCCTGGAGTCTCGTTTTCGTTTGGTTGAAGCACAAGCCGCACAGGGAACAGATGCACTGGACAGGATACATTTATGCAAAGAAAGGAGGGCCTGCGCTCTTTGGGAAGTACGATCGGGGTGGAGGGTGGAACAGGTCAGAGAAGAGGGTCCTGAGCAGTAGAAACCAAGAAACTAAAAGGCGGAAGGATACGGGAAGGACTGTGGGGAGGGAGGAGGCGGAGGGCCCTAGGAGGCTTTCACTGCAGGGAGGAGGACCACGAGCTCTTACACACTGGAGCTCCTGAAGGAGGGTGATAGAAGAGCAAGAGGATAGATGGCCAAGCTCGTGTGCTCAGGAACTGGGAAGCCCTCAGAGAAGACTGTGAGACTCTAACCTGGGTGACTGCAGGCACAATGATGCTGTTCGCAGGCCAGGTTTGTTGAGAGAAAGAAACACCATGTGTTGGGGCGGGGGTGGGGGGGTGGGGAGAAAATGATGAGTCACATTTTGAGCAAGCCAGTGACACCAAGGACACCACTAGAAAAGTGGGTCTGGAGGCGCATTCAGAGGCGGAGCCGGAGAAGTAGACTTGACCTTTCTCCACCTGCAAGTACCATTGTGTCAAGGCAGGGCCTATCCCACGTGGTGGAGGGGGAAGGTGGAGATGGGAGGCACTGCGAGGCTGATGCCAGAAGCACTAGAAGAAAACGGGCAAAGTGCGGCAGCACTGCCACCCTCCCCCCGGCACTGTCACCAGGACTGGGGGACAAATCTTACCAAGAAGAGGAGAGAGACTGAGGGAGAGAAAATGTTCACAAAAACTGCCTTTATTGTATTCACTTTGATGGTTAGCCTCAAAATACTCAAAGGTCTATAAGTATATAGAGGAGAAAGCTAGGCTTCTTTATTTTTTAGATTTTATTTATTTTTTTGACAGAGGGGAAGTGGGGAGGAAGAGGGAGAGAAATATCAATGTGTGGTTGCACTCATGAGCCCCCTACTAGGGATCTGGCCCACAACCCAGGCATGTGCCCTGACTAGGAATTGAACCCACGACCCTTTGGTTTGTAGCCCGCGCTCAATCCATTGAGCTACACCAGTCAGGGCAGAAAGCTAGGCTTCTTATCCTCCCTATGTTCAAGAATAATATTTGGTGATTCTCCTTTTCCCCTTTCTTCTCCCCCCCGACCCTTATTCCTTGTTTTGCCCTCTCCTCTCCTCCCTTCCTTGCACATGCTTGGTGACTTTGGACTGACCTTGAGCACAGGTGGCCGTTGTTGACCTAAAGGAGGAGTTAGGATTCGCCCTGTCACCTGCAAAGAGCAACTTTTTCTTTTCAATCTTTGTCTTTAGTGCTGATGGAGGAGGGAGTTCTGTGCTTGAACAGTGTGATGTTTTAGGTCTTTCACAGCAGGAAAAATCTATTTGCAGTGTGACATCATTAATGTTTCTGTAACTTTTTAAATATAACATTTTACTTCTTTCTTTGTACTGGCCTCCAGAGCCACTCATAAATCTTTCTGTAACTGCATAGGGTCCCAGGGCCAGAGACTGGCCACTCCTGGCATTGTGATTAGTCATTTAATACCCAAGACAATGACTAATGTCTGGCAACAGAGTCTCCATTAGGAGTCATGCATCCTGGGACCCTGGGCAAAGGCACACTGGGAACACCCTATTGTTGGGTCTTAGTACCATGGTCAAGGGAGAAGTTGAGGACTAGGTGCCATGTGGGCACCATCAGGAAAGGAGAGACTTCCCTCCCCATGGTCAATGCCAGTACAATCACAAAGCCTACAATCAGTTTAGGATCAAGGTGCCCACCTTTGTCTTATCTTTACACCCCAGCTTTTAATATATTTTTTCATATGTTTACAGAAAGCAGTCAACTGAGCTATTCATGGAAAGGTTTGTGGGTTTGGTTAACGAGGTGGAGGAGTATTGCGTTTCAGCTGGAAACACATCCCTAGAACGCCAAAACATTTATTCCAAAGTCTGGTTTCCTGGTGCAGTCGGAGGCATGGTGATAGTGTGTCCGTTCAGAGACTGGGGGCCGGGGCCAGCAAGGCACTCGGTCCAAGTGTATCCCAGAAGGCTGTTATTGTTAAATTATATTCTTTAGGAAAAACCACCCGAGTGACATTTTGTAAACTTGATATCCATACACTTTTTGACTGGCATTCTATTTTAGCCGTAAGCCTATGATTTATTTACAGCAAGCCTGTTTTCTCTCTTGCTTAGGATGGCCATGGAAAGCACGGGTCACTTTCCAGGCTCCAAGGATAGGAGCAAAGGGGGCTGGAGGGTTGCTTCCCTCCAAAAACACTGACTCGGGCTGTGCCACCCTGCTCCCCGTGAGCAGACAGCCGGCTTCTCCTCAGTCCTCGCTGCCATTCATCCAGCTCTGTGCGGCAGCCCGGCTTCTGTGTCTGCCGGGAGGGGGCTGCCAAGTGCCCTGCCTACTGGCTGCTTCCCGAATCCCTGCCACTCCACACACAAACACATGCACACACGCTCTGCCTCGCTCACACACAGACCCACACGCACATGCGAGCACGTTCCTTCCTTCACGCTCCCTGTCCTGAGCTCTTGTCTTCTGCGAGCTTATGGAACCTTTCTGGAAAGACGCTCTTGATCCAGCAGGGTAGGATTGTTTTGATTCCTCTCTTTGCAGCTTTAGCATTTTGAGAAAGCAACTTACCTTTCTGGCCAGGGTCTGTATCCTAGCGGGGAGAGAAGGGTTTGCTGTTTTCCAGGAGGTTTTGTGTGCATCTTCTTTTGCTTGCAGGACTTGTAGGATTCTTTGTGTAATTTCTATATAATTTGACAGGTTCAGATTTGTAAAGAGCCCTATGTGAAGTGCTTTTGCATGGGTTTAGAAGAGACATTTGAAAATTGAAAGTGTGATTTACGGAAACGAAATCATCTGCAAAAAAATTGCTTGGGAAAGTAATGGTTGCTGGCCATATAGAGAAATATCTGTGATTCACCTAATGTGGTTTTAACCCTTTCTTTGCTTACAACCTATAGTTATTGATGCCAAGTTCAATTTTGGCTTCACATTGCATCAGCTACATCTGCATGTTGTCTCCAAATGATCTGCCTGTTCTCATAAGAATTAGGTAAAATGAGCACTTATTAGTATACAGATATCCAAAGGTATTACCATTAGTAACATATGCCAGGAACCTGTTATAGTATTTGTCAGGTACTATGTCCGGTATTTGGGATAACAATTAAAGCAAAGTATTAATAGTTGTATCAGAGTCTATTAGGCTGGGGCAAAGGAAGTTTTTTAGAAAGTATAAACTACCCAAGAATTATGGGTACACAACATCTTTTGAGATACATATATGGTGGATTCAGTTCAAAACTTTTCTCTATTTTTTTTTCATGTGGGTATTTGATTCTGCATGTCCTTGCCCATGTGAACTGAGAGGGTCCAATTTTAGGATTAAAGAGCAGAATTGCATCATTGCAATTTAAAATTTGTGGGTTAGACCAAGAGTGGAACGTGATTGCCAAAGATGTGGTAAATGACCTGAGGTTACCTTTTGTAAAAAAGGGTCACATTTCATATTCTGTTTTCTGAAGTTTTGGTTGCATAACCTGTGGAAGGCTCGAACACTCTCGTGTGCACCTACCCAGAGGTTTTTGGAAATCTTCACTCACATGGGAATTCCTAATGGGAGCACATACAGTACCGTGGCCCAAATCAAACATCCAAGTCGCGCTAGGGGACTTGCAGAAGGTCCTGGCTGGAAGGGACCACTTTGGGAGAATGTTGTAAATGAGCAAAGTGAGGCCCATCAGCAGTCTACTGATTATTAAAATACAGCTCTTCCTATGCGAACACCTTGAATCTCTGCCCCTCTTCACCGCAGATGCCTCCTGTCCCTCCGTGCAGCTGCTAAATATAGCCGTCTGTGGCTGGCTGCATTTGCAACAGCACACCCCAGTCTATCTCCATGTCTCAGTTACAGAGTGGTCCTCCCCAGGGTCATTCTATGTACACACGACGGATTTGCAGCCAGCGCGGAGAGTGAATCAAACAGTAGGAGACAAACAGAGATAGACTGGAGTCTGGCACCGAGCACATAAGGCGGCACGTTAGAGAAAGCCGGCCCCTGGATTAATCTTCCAAGTTCATTTCAAACACCGTCTTCTCTGGGCCACCTTTAGGAAATCTCTTTGCGCCCCCTCCCTCCTGCAGTGAAATCCAGCCTCCATCCAGCAGCAACAAGTAAAGTTCAGGGAAGCTGCTCTTTGGGGTCGCTCCAAAAAAACGAGTTGAGCCCGGAGTGATGTTTAATCCAATGTCAGTGCAAGGTAACAGTCCTTGGCCGGCTTCCAGCACCTTTGTAATGCTTATGAGCCCGGGAGATCCGTACTTAAAGTTGAAGACCGGGAGCCCAGGAAGTTGGCTGCACTTGCTCGCCTCTGGCCGCAGGGGTCCAGGGCACCCCGGCTCAGGCACGGGGTCTCGGCGGGACATGCGCTGCGCCGTCTGTAACCAGGAGGACTGTCCTCTTCTTTCAGGTGGCCGGTCGGCTGCTGAGCCCTCTGCCGTGCGGAGAGACGGTTTGCGCCTTGCCCGCGGCCACTAACCATGACTATGACCCTCCACACCAAAGCATCCGGAATGGCTCTGCTGCACCAGATCCAAGGGAACGACCTGGAGCCCCTGAACCGCCCGCAGCTCAAGATCCCCCTGGAGCGACCCATAGGCGAGGTGTACGTGGACAGCAGCAAGCCTACTGTCTACAACTACCCCGAGGGCGCCGCTTACGACTTCAACGCTGCTGCTGCTGCCTCCGCTCCCGTCTACGGCCAGTCCAGTCTAGCCTACGGCCCTGGGTCCGAGACCACAGCGTTCGGTGCCAACGGCCTGGGGGGCTTCCCTCCGCTCAACAGAGTGTCACCAAGCCCCCTGGTGCTGCTACACCCGCCAACGCAGCTCTCACCCTACCTGCACCCCACCGGCCAGCAGGTGCCCTACTACCTGGAGAACGAGCCCAACGGTTATGCCGTGCGCGAGGCCGGCCCTCCCGCATTCTACAGGTACCAGCTCCGCCCGCAGCACCACATCGGGGTGGCCGCCGAGCGCCTGGTGGGCGGGCGGGAGGGAGGGAGCCAGTGAGCCAGGGGGAGGCGGCAGGCCGGGCTGGCACCGCGCAAAGGGGCCACCGGCAGCGGATGCGCCACCCGAGGGCTAGCGCGCAGCCACACCCGGGGTTATTTGTGGATCTCGCGTTGAAGAGTCAAGTTCTCTAGCTTGGCAGCTTAAAGGAAATTTACTTCTCCACCGCGCTGTCTGCTTGAGAGATCCGAAACCCCGTACGCTTCCTAACCAAGCAAATATTGGGAAACCTGACAAAGCAGCAGTTACTTGTGGGGAGAAACACCCCAAAGCAAATAAACACAGGGTGGTTTGAGACCCTAGTAAACATCCCGCTTTGGTATTAAAGGCTGGAGGCGCTTGGGGGGTTAGGGGCGCTCAGGTCGATCTGTCTGCCATCTATCTGTCTGTCTCTCTGTCTAAAAATTTTGTTTCAATGTACTCGAAACGTTTCCTTTCGTCTAGAAGTTTGAATTGCAAATATGCCCGTGATGATGATGATGATGATGATGATGATGATAATTTTTTGGTGGGTGGAGGGGGCGGAACAAGTCCTAGCATTCACTGTCCTTCCAGTCCATGTTCAAAGCTTGGTTGAACTGCACTCCTCAGAGATCAATAGAGGAGCTGAATGGGTCCTGAGCTTCTGTCTTCTCAGCTGTCTAGCTGGGTCCTGCTGGAGCAGGTTGCTGGTGTGTGACTTAGGACAGCCAAAACTTTACAGGCTTCCTGTCAGTTTGAAACGTGCTGCACTGAGGCACGAGAGGTTTTTAAATATCCCCCTGCTAGCTGTATTGTATTTCGTGCCCGCCAGGCCAAAAATGCCCCACAGTGGCTTCTGCCCCTCTCAGCAGCTGTAGAAGAAGCCTTGGCAGTTCAGGACCCACAGGAACACTTGTGACTTAAGTGACAAATGTTTTGTGTCCTTATTTTTTTCCCTGGTAGAAAGCATACTTTCCCACTCCCCTCTCCCTCCCATTTTCCCTTTGATAGTGTCTTCCTTGTCTTCCTGATTGACTTGGGGAGGGCTTGGGCGGGTGTTTCTGGTGAATAGTTGTGCCTTGGCCCCCACCGACAGGGATGCCCGGGAGAGCACGCGGGAGACCTCAGGGCGCCCACGTGGCTGGGTGCTGAGTTAGGCACTGCCGGACTGTACACTGGTGTCTGATGGGCCCGCTCCCTCCCCCGGACCCTTCTACATGTAAGTCGTGGACCGTGTTTCAGTCTGAGTTCTATTTCCAGAGATATTTTTATAGCAGAAGAAAGAGGAGAAAGTTGCAGATTGGCCCTGGAGGATTCTGAAGGGCAGGTTCTTGCGGTTTCTGAACTTCCCCAATATCCTTCAGCCCCCTCCGTGGGTGTCTGAGCATGGCATAGTCACACAAGTTCAGCCCAAGCGGTCACTTAGAAGATAAACAACAATCAGAACTTCAAAAACTTTAAAAGTAACACAACTTTTCAAATTCACTTGCCTTGTTTTCATAAAGGGTTAACATGAAAAGAGAAAAAGAACTTATTCTGCCCACTTTTTAAAAAAAATGGTGTTAGAACACAATGTAACCATCACATCAAATTCACACACATTTTTAAGCTCCCTAACGGGAAGGAAGCCACTGCTACACTGTCAGTTCCATAACCTTATGATGGACTCCAGAAACTATTTTCTTTTCCATTAATTTTCAGTTCTTTTATTGCAAATTAATGCCACTGAATTTCAATGGGCACTAATGAGAGTGCTCCTTGGTGGATTATTTACTGCCTTGCTAATAATTGCAAAGTAAGTATGGTCAAGGAAAAAGGGGATCACACTTTATTCAAAACTGTTCATCATCCCAGAGGCAAATAATATCACTATAATGTGCTCCACCTTAAACTTTTTGCAATAGATGATATTCAGATATTTTTAGAATCGTATGAAAAATGGTATGGAACTTTTTGAAAGAGTAAAAAAATTCACACAAGTGGGATTCTTTGTGGGAATGCAGTTTTAGGGTGTTTTTTTTTTTTTTTATCCTTTGTAGTTTATTTCCCGTAACATCCTTCTTCTCTTGTTTGAGTTTTGCCTCTTATTACCCAGGGAGGGAGAAAAATGTCAAGGCAAATGTTTATTTAATATTATTATTAAATATTGTTTAATATTTTCCCCCTTTTAATTTTCCTGTTTGTATAACACTGGGTAAGATAAAAGAATTGATTAGATCCTGTTAGGAAACTTTAATTTTCCGTAGTAGTTATCAAAAGTTTTGGGGGCCAAAAGCAGTGTTTTCAAACTGCTTATTATGATCTGGAGGTTCACAAATTCAGTTTGGTGAGTCTAGAACATTTTTTAAATGAATAAAATGGAAAAGAATATAATAGAGAATGTTTGAATGTATAATATTTAGTAGGCTGGGTTTTGTTACCTGGAAAATTGTTTTAATTATACATGCTTGTGTGTAAAATGTATGTCTGACTGTGAGTCGAGGCCAAAGAAATTTGAAAGCTATAGCCTAAAGTATGTTCAGTGGAAAACAAAAAATTCAGGCAAGTGCCTGGTTATTTTATCTGCATAAACCGAAAAAGCTACTTTGATTCTCTTTATTTTATTTCACCCCCTCCCCATAAATTAGTTGGTGTCTTTAAGTCTGTTAGATGAAGCTTTACTATTGAGAATTTATGGGAAGTTCACATTATTTATCATACGGATGCTATGGTTCTGTTGGCCACAATATTCAGGCATATCTGTGTATGAAGAAATGTAACAGATAAAACTGCCCTGGGCATATAATAATGTGAGAAACATTGTCACATGTCCCAATCAATTACTGAGAGGGAATAAATTTATATGTAGGCAAATTGTGACTTCAAAAGATATGTCTGACCTATAAGTTCATGATGAAGGCCACTGGGAGTCATCTAGTCCTGGTCCCTTGTTAGAGTTCAAACAGCTTAGGAAAGTTGGAATGAATTAAAGTTGAACTTAATTATATCCACTGTGATTTTTAAAATTCCAAGGGGGTATTTAATGCTCCATGCTTATTTCAGTTTTGTTACTCAATATTCTTAAGGGGTAAATATTACCTACTTCTCCAAATTACTCGACAATTATACAAACCTTCTGCATCAAAGTCAGTGCCCTAATAATTTGTACACTGTGGCACTGGCCGCACACATGTTTTGAATGACTGGTTTGTCCACTGGTGACCACTTAAAACTATTTCTTAACTTTGAACAAGGCTCATCTCTAGGAAGAGATTTTAATGGCTAATTTCCAAGTTTCCAATATTCCTTTCCTTCTATTCTGGTGAGATTTTAGCACCCTTTCTTTCTGTTCTTACGTTTTTTCATTTATTGAAATTGTTAGCCTTTACCCAGCACATTGTGTTGGTCTAAGAAGAGTTCGAGGAGCCACATTTCGCCTCGAGAACGAGTGTGTTTTCAGTTGAAAACGGAGTCATATCTTCAACCCCCATTTCATTTTCACCTACTCCATGTGGCTTGTGCCTGTTCAGTAGAAAGCTCCTGAAGGATAATTGGCACTTATTCTTTTTTTCTCACAGCCAGTTAATTTGGGTCCTCAGATGATTTTTGTGAATATATTTAGGATATGATGTTCATATTCAGGAAATATTCAGGTTTAGCATTTTGGTTTCTTACTATTGCAAGGGCATAAAAGGGGCAAGAAATTGATAATGATAGATTATCAATCTATTAGATCTATAGATTAACAATCAGATCTATTGGCAGGGACAATAGATTATCAGGAAAAACTATAGAAGTTGTCAAGAGTTCTGTTAATGATAAGGCATTTGTAATTTTGTCGAGTGAGAGAGTATGTGTGAAAGAGGTACATAAGGTGTCCATGCATTCAATATTTCATTATTTCACTCACACACTGGTAACTGTTCTGGTACTTTTGTAAGATGGAAAATAGCAGGGGAGGATAGATTTAAAGTGGTCAGGAGTTTCCACTACAAATATAGATTAATGATAATATGCAATCATTGTCTTTGAAAGACAAATTTAACTAAAATCTTTAGCACCATCTGCAACATGTGTTTGCAGCCTGGGCTCTCATAAACAATATTTATCTTGCCCTAGCTGGGTAGCTCAATTGGTTAGCACATCATCTCGATATGCCAAGTTCACTGATTCGATTCCCGGCCAGGGCACATAGGAGAATCAACCAATGCATGCATGAATCAGTGAAACAGCAAAGTGATGTTTCTCTCTCTTTCTCTCAAGCCAATAAATAAAAATATTAAAAAAAGAATATTTACCTTATAGGTACATATCTAAAAAGTCAAAACCCTAATTGTGTGAAAAGAGTTGTGCACAGGGAGACGTATGGACCTTAATTACGTTTTTCTAAAATGCAGACTCAGCACAGAAATAATAGATCTAACGCCTCCCCGTGACTTCAGTATTATTTTTAATGTAACTTTTGAAGAACTCAGTAGAACGCAGCGTGCTGAGTTCCCTTCTTTCTCAGGAGACACTAGATGGGTGGAGGCAAATAAGTCATTGAGTTTAATTCCACGTCTCGGTTTGCATATCGAAGAAAGCAAAACATAGTAGCCTCAACTGTTCAGCAGCAAAATGTATATGCCACAGAAAGATGCTGTGTGTTTTCCAGAATAACACAGCCACTCGAAACAAACTCGCCAAAGCGAAAGTGTAAGGGATTTCATAGAAAGGAGGCATTCCATCAGTCATCGAGTAGCTTTATTTTATATTTTAAACTCTGCCAATGAATTGGCGGAGAATGTTGTTTTAAAAGCACTGGGTCTGAGCTGTTCCCTACTTCATCCCTGACACAGATGCTCAGGCTGTCCTCTGAGATCTGAGGACGTGAGTGGGCCAGACATGAAGGGAAGCACCTTTCTGAGATTCCCCATCTAACGAGGGAAGAGACCATAACTCCTGAGTTGTGTACCTTAGAGACTGTTAGTAAGAATTATGG